TGCTGAGTGGCTGTGAGGCCTGGAACATTACAGTGCACAACTGGAGACTTCACAAGCACTGTATACTTAGGCCACACTACATTTATGATTATTAATGTCCTTCTTCAATAATAAATTAACTTTAGCTTACTGTACCTTTTTTACTTTATGAACTTTTTAACTTGACTCCTTTCTAATAATACTTAGCTTAAAACTCAGATACATTGTACAGCTATACCAAAATTATTTTTTCTTTATATTCTTATTCTATAAGCTTTTTTCTGTCTTTAAAATTTTACTTTTTACTTTTTCAACTTTTTTCGTTAAACGCTAAGATACAAACATTAGCCTAGGCCTATACAGGGTCAGGATCATTCATATCACAGAATCATTAATACCACATAATTCCACCTCCACACCTTGTCCCACTGGAAGGTCTTCAGACGCAACAGCACAGCACCTAGGGAGCTATCATCTCCTCTGATAACGACGCCTTCTTCTGGATACCTCCTGAAAGACCGGCCTGAGGCTGTTTTACAGTTAACTTTTTTTTTTAAATACGTAGAAGTATTACATTCTAAAATAACGATTATAGTATAGTAAGCACTTAAACCAGTAACGCAGTCATTTACTATCATGATCAAGTATTATGAACTGCATTTCTTATAGACCAGCAGTGCAGTAGGTCTGCTGACACCAGCATCACCACTAACACGTGGGTAACGCATGGTGCTAAGACATTACGATGGCCATGACGTCACCGGGCGAGAGGAATTTTCCAGCTCACACACACTCCTGTGGTATACGCCATCCAGTGCTGATAAAAACGTCGTTACGTGGCGCAGAACTGTACGTCCAAGATTTCCCACCGATGCAGTGGGTCCACGTGGTAACTGCAGGCTAGAATGCATTTTCTTCTATTTTTCAAAAATAAGATTTTATCCTTGTTCTTTGAAGAACAGGATAAAAATCACCAAATGTCAATCCTTATAAATAGTCTGAAATGTTCAAACAGGAAACCTAAAATGGACACGAGATTACGCCTTTCTTCGAAACAAAAGCAAAGCACAGAACATACCTCCGCCGGAATACAAACTCCCACAGCCCTCCGCAGAAGACACAGAAGAACCCTCTCTGTCACTGCCCCCCACAAAAAAGCCAAGCCTGATGACTGTCAGGTGAAAATAGTCATCTCAAGAATAGCTGGCTGGGCACAGTGACTCACGCCTGTAATCCCAGCACTTTGGGAGGCTGAGGCAGGTGGATCATGAGGTCAGGAGATCGAGACCATCCAGGCTAACACGGTGAAATCCTGCCTCTACTAAAAATTCAAAAAATTAGCTGGGCGAGGTTGCGGGCGCCTGTAGTCCCAGTACTCAAGAGGCTGAGGCAGGAGAATGGCGTGAACCCGGGAGGCAGAGCTTGCAGTGAGCCGAGATCGCGCCACTGCACTCCAGACTGGGTGACAGAGGGAGACTTTGTCTCAAAAAAAAAAAAAAAAAAAAAAAAAAGAATAGCTATACACTTAGAGATTTTGAAACAATGTTCAGTCCCCAAGACCAGTCTCATTGGTTTATTTTTGTGAGTTTGCTTTTTGGTGAGCAGTTTTGTTTTTACTTTGAGTTAAAAACTTTAAAACTTCTGCAGACCAGGTAAGAGTGGCTTATGAAGAGCAGGGTGAATACTGCTCCTTGCCAGCTTGGTAAACACTCAGGACTAACTTTCTGCTCTACTGGGCTGTGTGTCCTCACAGAGCGAGGCTCCTATTCACACCTGATTCTTTTGTTCAGTGCTCCATTGCAGAGCCTGAGCGGGTAACTGACAGCCCTTGTCCGGAATCCGACAGAAAGATCCATAATTACCTTGAACCTGTCTCATGCTCCGCTTGTCAGGCTGTCCGCCAAAACTGTTTGGTAACGGAGGTCATCAAAGGAGGATGGGAATGCCTGAGCTGGCCCCAGGCCCCGGCGGGTACAGTTCATTGAAGAGATATGCTATGTACTGTTTGGGGCACTGCCTGTATATTCTCAGTTGCTTCTGGAGGACTCCTGAAAGCTCCCCAGCAGGGAGGCTGTGCAGGGAGCCAGGAGGAGGGCATGCAGAACCGCGAGGACCCTGGCCCCAGCGGGACCCCCCTACACTGAGTCTCCCAGGCCTCACCCAACCACAACGCAAAGGCAACAAGTCCCTACAGCCATCACAGGTGAGGGGACGACTCAAGGAAAGAACCACGGGTGTCAAGGTGACCGGCACATGCCCAGCACCCTCTGGCACCTAATAAATGGCAGCTACATGCATGAATTCTCCACTAAGGTAGAACAGTGCTTAGGATGAGGCACTCAGACCCTGGCATTAACTCAAAAGCTGATGAGGACAGAATAACCCAATGCTGACAGTGATCAAGTGACAGAAAACAGGTGCGTAAGCACAGAGCTTCAGAGTTCAGAGGAGGGGCCCAGGAGACAGCGTGACAACCAAGACCACAGAGACACGGGCATGTCTGAAGAAGAGACTGGAATAGAAGGACAGGGAGGAAGTCTAACGGGTTCCAGCGCACAGACAGCCCACAGCACAGCAGCAAAGCCGCCTGGGGAAGTGACCGCTGCAAGACTCCTAGACTCGGAAAGAGGTGGGGGTGAGACAGAATCACAGGGAGAAATGTCACTCAAACTTCAAGCTCTGAATCCATTTAATGACTGGTTATTTCCCAAGAACTTTCTGAAGCTTCATGGTTTCTATCTGTATTTTCAAACTGCCAATACAGCCCTTGTGACGGGGGCTGCGGGGGAGTGGGGGTTCACCTAAATTTACTGTGCGAACTAAGTAACCCAGAGGCAACTTCAGGATTATAATTTTTTTAACTCACTTTTTAACAAGAATTTCCATTTTTTCTCGCTGTACTCCAGGATATCACTTAAGAGTCCTGAATGTTCAACCAAAGTTTCTAATTTGCTGAAATACAGGGGCTTCGTCCCAGCCCTCTGAATGTGAGCTACAGGAGAGAAGGTGCTAATGGTGGACTCTACTCTGCTTGGCTGACATCAGAGGTAATATTACTTGTACCTTCTTAAGGCCACTTTCAAAATCTACTGATGCCTTCGTCGCTGGGTGGGTCACATCAGTGACCAGCTATGCCTGACGCACAGATGTCTCTCCCTGAAAACCTTCATGATCAGACAGTCAGCGGAAGCTCAGCACACCCAGGCCCCCACTTGACAGAAAAACAAGTTAACTGAAACCATCAAACCACCAAACCTCTAACCGTGATATCAAACAGCTTTCTAAAGGAGTCATCACCTCCCCTCCACACGCTCTCTCTTCGCCAGGCGTGCTGGCCTTGTGAAAACGCTGTGGCCACCACAGGGTGATGGCCAGCGAGCCCAGGGAGGGCCCCCGGACAGGCGAAGGGTGAGCAGCCCATATTTCACGTGAGCTGCTCCCTCTCCAACACCGTAACACCAACACCAGAGGCAACGCGCAGCACACATTACCCTGCACTGAACCAGAGAGAAACAGATTTAGAGCGGACCCTTCCTGCAAGTGGGTGACGTGTCCCCGGGCTAGAGCACGGACGCGCCTCGCTCGCCCTCAGGACTCCATCACTACTGCTCAGGGACTGCAACGGTAGAGTCCTTGCCCTCTTATGAAGTGAGTCCTTAAAAAAATGAGTCTTGGCCGGGCGTGGTGGCTCACGCCTGTAATCCCAGCACTTTGGGAGGCCGAGGCGGGCGGATCACAAGGTCAGGAGATCGAGACCACAGTGAAACCCCGTCTCTACTAAAAATACAAAAAATTAGCCGGGCGCGGTGGCGGGCACCTGTAGTCCCAGCTACTCAGGAGGCTGAGGCAGGAGAATGGCGTGAACCCGGGAGGCGGAGCTTGCAGTGAGCCGAGATCGCGCCACTGCACTCCAGCCTGGGCGACAGAGCGAGACTCCCTCTCAAAAAAAAAAAAAAAAAAAAATGAGTCTTCCCCAAGAGCAGTATAGACGATGTGGGGGATGGTGAGCGACTCCTGCTCTCCTGGCAAGTGAAAA